TTTTTTTTTTTTTTTTTTTTTTACGAAATAAACATTTATTTTTAACAAATCAACAGCGTAAAGACTAGCATCTAGAGACTAGTCGGACACTCTGTCTGACCTAGGTAACTAGAGGCCGCCAGGAATATATCGCGCGAAGGGAAAATTTCGAACTCTGTCGCGATTTTTACGAAAATTGAACCGTTCCCTTATCTCCTCCAGAAAAAGAACCCCCCCCCCTCGCTTTTAAGCAAATATTATTCAAGCGAGATGTGCGTGAAAAAAATGCCCTCCCTAAATACAACGAGTCTGAAGGAAACCCTACTGCCTTAATTGACAAGAATTCCGCGGTATCACGTTAATCGCAGCCTTGGTCGAAGATATATTTGTCGCTTACTTCTTTCTTTTTCTTTCTTTTTTTTTTTTTTTCTAATTTCAAGTAGAAATATTTCTCATTCGATCAGCAAGGAACATTACGTTATTAGTTCTTAGCGTGAGCAAGAAGCAAAGAGTGGAAATTAACCCTTGGGAATTGTCACGAGCGACGTTTTGAAAAAAACTAAATTTAATCGCCGAAAAATAGGTTAAATTTCCGCCGTTGAAAAGTGTCCTTTGTCTTTCGCGCGTAAATACATCGTCAAGCCTAAAGAAAACGTACATGCGTACACGCGTTCAAAGAATTCGCAGAGCGTTATAAGAGCAACTTTTGAAGTACAAGTTGAGACGCAGAATTAATAATCTGGCACATCTACAATAGGATTACTATATTTTCTACGTAGCTCCAAACGTGTTCTGCTCAAACCAGTGTGTCCAAACTTGCTCTTACACTGCTAATTTAATTTCTAATATTTCAATTTAATATTTAACTGCAATTTAATTTCATTTAATTTCAAACACGCCTGCTAAAAGAATTAACTACCTAGTAACATCTTATGTTAAAATAATTTGCTCTATAGTTATATATATGTATATATACGTATGCGTATCTAAACCATTCGACATTCTTAAGAAAATTCACACTCTTGACAATTTTCTTCGACAATCGTATTTTCGACCAATTCAACGCCCGTTGTCGATAACACTAAACGATCGACGGCTAATAAATCTCGGTGTGATCTCGTTCAATTCCGCAAGCATCTAATGATTCAACCGCGAGTGCCACTGTAGAATCATTAATTAATCGACGAATCCCTTCAATTCTCATAAAAACCGGAATTCTAGAGTTTCCCTTGGCAGATCCCCGCTATATAGTTTCACACTTCGTCCCGTCGTAACGTTTTCTCTTTCTTTCTTTCACTCGTTCACTCGATAAATGGTTTGTAAATTAATTAGTCATCGCGATTAACTTACTACGTTATCTCGCTAAGAAAAGTTTCTTCTGTTTTTCTTTTTTTTCTTCTTCTTCTTTTTTCAAGGGATTTTCTCTCGATCTTTTTCTCGACCTTCTTCAGTGTCTTCTACTGGCTTTTCACCTCGTTATGTACATACGTTATGTTTTTATTCAACGCGTTAGGTATCTACGACACTTTCGCGGCTGCGTTTTCTACATGAGATTTTTATTTAGTTATTTATCTTAATTGTTTTTTTTTT